GTTTTTAAAATAATTTATGTCTTGAAATCAACTACTCAACTTATATTAAAATGTGCAGATTATAAATCTGGACAGGTCAGTGAGTCGTCACAGGCAACCACATTGTATATTATCAAGCTTCCATGGCTTATTCTAGTTCAAAGACTCTCCAAAGAAGGAAAATATGGCTTTGACAGCATTGAAATTGAGATGTATCTCTTTACATCAGCATTTCCAAATATCCATGATGAAAAACCTCTGAGAAATGTTTTCTAAAAACAAAACCTAGAGCTTGAAATTAAATTTTTAATTGATATCTTCCCTTTCTATTAAAAAAATAAAAGGCTGTTCAGAAAAAGACCCCTAAAGTTTTCAAACAGGAAATGAAACTGCTTTCAGGTTGAAAATGTCAGAGTTAACTATAGGTACTCAGCGTATACCTCCCATTGCCCAATCCCTCAGTGGGTACCGCAAGAAGTAGCTGTCTTAGCTACGTGAATTTTTTTCCCAAGAACTATGCTCATGATTCACACTTGTCTGAAACCCACCCTGATTTGTAGAATTCATCTGAAATATTTTTTAACTGCACCATCACCCACCCCATTTTTCTAGTTTTTTTTTTCCTTCATATTCCCAAATCTCTAAAGATTCTATAGAACATTTGCTCAGTAGGTTGCATATACCAGGTGCTGTCCCAGGTCTTGGGAATACAGATGTCTTCATCTGTTTTGTGCTGCAACCTAAGCAATTCAATTCTGTTGAATACTTAAGACTGGGTAATTTATAAGAAATAAAAAGAAGTTTACGGAGCTTACAGTTATACAGGCTGGAAGTACAAGATTCGGCAGCCCATCTGGTGAGGACCTGGTGCTGCTTTGACTCCTGGTGGAAAGCAGAAGGAAAGGGAGCAGGAGCGTACAAAGACACCAAACACAAGAGGCAGCCTCACTTTATAACAACCGGCTTTCACAAGAACTAAATCATTCCAAGAGACCTAAACCGGTCTCTCCAGAGAAAGACACTAATCATCTTAATGACCTAATTAAAGTTCAGATAAAGGTCCCAGCTCCCAACACCCATTACATTGGCAGTCAAATTGCAACATGAGTTTTGCATGGAAACTCATGCAAAGGGAAAAAAAAATACATCCAAACTATAGCCACAGATGAGGACAAAATACAATCATGTCCTGCAGTGGTGGGGAAGACAAGCAGTCTAATGAATCTAACCACCTGTATCAGTAGAACCGCAGGATACTGTGGCAGCAAAGAGGAAGGCAGTTCCCAGATCACTCCCCCAATGCTAGGGCTGATTCCAGTTGTCTCAGTGGTAAATGCACCATCCTGGAGCTGCTGTCACTCACAGGATCCCACCTCAAGCTGGAGCTGTTGTACCTCTGTGTGACAGGGTATTAGGTACCAAGTGGATCTTGTTGTTTCCTCTTTGGGCCCACAGCAGAGAACAACCCAGGCCCTTAGTACCCCATACTCTGAGTGCAGAGAAAGGCCTGGTTGCTTCCCTTCCTGCCTTTTCCCCCTGACCTCTCACTCCCACAAGCCTCTCTAAGCAGAGCTGTTTCATCAAAACCAGCACCCCTACCCTCAAAGACAAAAGAAGAGGAGCGTAGGGAGGGAGTAAATCATTACTTCTACCTGGAGCTATGTGGGGGGGGGGGGGGGGTGGGCACTGCACAATGGATTTCTTCTCCAAAATCAGGGAAACAATTTGTGAGGTTTGGGGATGCACTGTCATCCCGCCTACACCCCTCCACACATGTTCTCCACTGACCTGGAGACTGGTCATCAGTGGTCATCTTTTGGGGGTTGGAGAATGAGGTGAGGGGACGGCACAGCAAGATGGTGAGGAAGACGTCGACCAGGTCAGGACTGTCCCCAAATTGCAATTCTCAAGACCTACAGGAAGGGGCCCCCCCAGGAGATTTTGAGCCCTGGAGTTGAAGAGCTTGGGAAAGCGAATATTTTTGGAGCAATGGCATCCCTAGGGACCATACAGCAAAGGGTGAAGGAGGTCCGTACAAGGCCCACAGAGGAATACGTATGATGTCTCCTGCTGGGGGACCCCAGAGTCTGCACCCGGTGAGGGAGGCATCCCAGCCCTCATGAAGCCCACTGGACAGGAACAGCAGTCATGGCCGCCCAAAGGGAGGACAGCAATTGTACCATGGACATCCACGTGAGGGAGCATCTGTCTTACTTTATTTCCTCCTCTGGAGAAGTAGAGACAAGTACAGACTGGGCCCCCTCTGCCACTTGAAGTTCCCATGCCACAAGTTCCACCTGTTCTGACAGTAATGGAGAGAATCAAAATATTAAAATAAACACAGGAACTAGAGGTAACTGTTCCTTTGACCAAAAACAACAGAAAAGTTATGGGATTGAAAACAAGGTTGATATGGAGAACAGGAGTAGTAGCAACTATTGGAAAAACAAAACCATTTTATGTTTATACTCCTAATTAGTTAATATTCCTCAGTAAATCAGGGAAAGTGTTTTATTGCCTTTGTTAAATTTAAAATAGGCTCTTAGAAGAGTTATTGATGAAAAGCATTTAGAACTGTACTTGGAACATAGTAAGACCTCAAAAAGATGAGCTAAGATAGAAAATAGTAGCAGTAGTAATAGGAGTAAGGTATTTTCATCATACAACTGGTGTCTTAGTTCAGGCAACCATAATAAAATACCATTAATTGGGCAGCTAATGAACAGTAATTTATTTGTCACTAGTTTGGAGGCTGGGAAGTCTGAGCTCAAGGTGCCGGCAGATTCCATGTCTGGTGAAGACCTGTTTCCTGGTTCTTACATGGCTCCTTCTTACCATGTCCTCATGTGGTGAAACAGGCAGGCTAACTCTCTTTGGGGTCTCTTTTATGATGGATTTGTGCCAATTACCAGGGCTCTGCTGTCATGATCCAATCACCTTCTAATGGCCTTACCTCCAAACACCATCACATTGGTGATTAGGTTTCAACATATAAATTTTGAAGATCACAAACATTCAGACGGTAGAAACTGGATAGAATTTTCAAAACATATCTAAAGGATTTCCATAACCTTTCTTCATTTGATCTACAAAGGAACCCAGCAGAATCGGTAAAGAGGGTGTTGTTATCCCCGCTTGAATATGAGGAAACTGAGGCTCCTTGAGAGTATGTGAGTTTTTTCAAAAAAATCTCATACCTATGAATCTAGAATCAAAGCATTCTGACTTCTATCCTATGCTTTATTCCATGGCCAGCTTTGTAAGTCACAGAGAGAAGAAGGAAAATGAAAAAGAAAGATTGGAGAGGGAAGGCTGAAGAAAGAGAGCCGTTTACTGCATTGACTATGCACCACGAGCCCGGAGTATCCTGGGATTTTCAGATACTTTTTTTTTTTTAAACAAAACAAAGCAAAAAACACGTTTATTAAGAAACCATTCACATACCATACAATTCACCCATTTGAAGTTTACAGTGTAGTGGCTTTTGGTATATTCACAGATATATGTAACAATCACCACAGTCGAAAGTAGAACATTTTCATTTGCTCGAAAAGGAATTATTTGGGGGATGTCTCCTCTTGACCTCCCGTTTCCCTCCAGCCCTAATAAACCACTATCAGCTTTCTGTCTCAATAGATTTCCTTATTCTAGACATTTCATAAGTGGTATAATATGTGGTCTTTTGTGAGTGGCTTCTTTCACTCAGCATAATGTTTTCAATGTTCATCTGTATTGCTTGCAGCACGTATCAGAACTTCACTTATTTTGTGACTGAATAATATTCTATTGTATGGACATACCACATTTGCTTATCCATTCTTCAGTTCACATATATTTGGTTTTTTTCACATTTGGGCATTAAGAATAATGGGGCTATAAACATTCGTGTACAAATTTCTGTGGACATACACTTTCGTTTCTCTTGGGTATATACCCAGAGGTGGAACCAATGGATTACATGGTAACTCTATGTTTAATTTTTTTGAGGAACTATTAATACCACACTGTTTTCCAAAGCAGTTGCACCATTTTACATTCCCACCAGCAGACTATGAGGATTTCAGTTTCTTTATATTCTCGTCAATACTTGTTACTATCTGGCTTTTTTACTCTAGCCCTTCTAGTGGATGTGAAGTGGTGCCTCATGATGGTTTTGATTTGCATTTCCCTGATGACAAATGATGTCAAACACGCTTTCATTTAGCTTTCCCAACAGAAGGACATATGCTTTAAGTGAAGCAGAACTGGGTTGGGACCTTGGCTCTGCCACTTTCTCCCTGTTAAGCAACTTCTATCCAATTGCTTCACACCATGAAGCCTCACTTTTCTCATCTGTAAAATGAAGACAAAAATATTTGCATCATTATGTGTTACAAGGCTTCAAGAAAATAATACATGCGGAGCACCTAAGTACCTTGGCAAACAGCAGAGGCTTTGTAAACAGAGGTATTATCATTTTATTATCGATTAAGATAAGAAAACTGAGCCTCCAAAAGGTTGAGAAACTTGTCAGAGATCATAAAGTAACAATGTACTTGGGTCAGGACTGTTTGGCTCCAAACCACAGTGTTCCTGAAACTCTACTTTTGAGTCAGAATGCTAGGTACCTATTGGGGGGTTACATTTTCTGGTCCTTCACACATCTACAAGCGTGTTGAATACTGAATGCATAAAAGTAATTCTAATCTGTAAATAAACAATGGCACATATTATAATCAATGGCACAGAGAAAAGAAAACACATCCCTTTCTTTTGGCACTAATCTTTAAGTTCTTGGTGCAGTTTTGTTTATTGGCTTCCAATATAAAAATTATCCATTTAAAACATTAATACTGTAAGAAAACTTTTTTATCATGAGATAAAATAATGTTTATTTTAATAAAAATATGTTGTATTCCCACCCTGAACTCATCTTTTTTAAAAAACAGGACTTTAAACATTTAATCTTTCATGTGATTTTTATTGTCTTTGTATTTTTTTTCAATTAGAATGTAATTTGGTTTTATGATGAAAACCACCTAGAGGCTAAGATTACATACATTTCCATGCATACATAGAAACTTGTTGTGTTAGTCAGTTTGGGCTGAGTTGTGTTGCAATAATATCCCTCAAATCTTCAGGACTTACAGCAAAAACGGCTCCTCTCCAACTTGTGTTCATGTCCTTTGAAGATCAGCTGCAGCTCTGCTCCATGTTCTCTTTATTCTAGGATCAAGACCAAAGGAACAATCGTGAGCAATGGCACGCCAGCATCGTCATAGAGGTACACGAGAAATGTCAGCATCAGAGGATGGCACTTAAAGTTATTATTATTATTATTTTTTTTTTTTTTTGAAGAGGAGTCTCACTCTGCCACCCAGGCTGGAGTGCAGTGGCATGATCTCGGCCCACTACAAACTCCACCTCCTGGGTTCAAGTGATTCTCCTGCCTCAGCCTCCTGAGTAGCTGGGACTACAGACGCCTGCCACTAAGCCCAGCTAATTTTTGTAGTTTTAGTAGAGATGGGGTTTCACCATGTTGTCCAGGCTGGTCTCGAACTCCTGAACTTGTGATCCACCCACCTCGGCCTCCCAAAGTGCTGGGATTACAGGCGTGAGCCATTGCACCCAGCCTGCACTTAAAGTTTTTATCTGGAAGCAGCAAATGTCATTTTCACTAACAAAAAATTGACCAAATCCAGAAACATGGCTAAGCCTGATGTCAGTGGAGCAGGAAGAATACCTCTTCTCACAGTGAAGGCCACCAGGCAGGCACTAAAAAAAGAAGGGAAGCGGCTGGGCGCGCTGAGATCACGCCACTGCACTCCAGCCTGGGGACAGAGCAAGACTCCATCTCAAAAAAAAAAAACAGAAGGGAAGCAAAGTTTTGGATAAATAGTGCAATCTACCAGAATTCTGGGTCATGAGTCTCCACTTATCTCTCTTTATAAGCAAAATACATCTATCCTTTCCAATACGGATGCCAGATTCAATACAGGATGCCCAGATAAATTTAAATTTCAGATCAATAATGGGTAATTTTTTAAGATAAGTATGGCCAAAATATTGCACAGTGGGATATACAAAAAAATTATTCATTGTTTATCTGAAATTCCATTTTAACTAGGAATCCTACATTTTAATTTACAAAATATGGCAGCCCCATTCAAGAAAAATAACCTAAAATTCCATTCAGTTACAGCATCAGGCTTCAATTCCATGATCTCATCAAGTTCTGTCTACATCAGGCTCAGATGTTCACTCTCTTGAGAGCAAAACCTACGGATCAAAAAGACAAGTTATCTGCCCCTCATATGCCCAATGTACCATGGTGAAACAGGATACCTAAAATAATCACTCCAATTCAGAAAGTGAGAGGAGAGGAGGAACACAGAAGTCACTTGTCCATGGCAATTCTGAAAGTCCCTTGGGCAGAAGTGCCAGACTGCCTTCCATGGAGACTGGAAATGTTCTTTGATTAGGACTTGATTCTGTACCTAGAGCAATAACACTCGATCTACTGCTGTGCATGGCACTTGGCGCTGTCCTGTGGGAGGCCTTTCCTTTTCAATTATCCTCCTAGAGCATTTTTTTGTAAACTACAATATGTCCTCTTCGGAAGCTGGCCACACTTCTCTTTTTCCCCCAGAAAGTTGGAAATCCAAAGGTCATTTCAAGTCTCAAACAGTTATAATCTATTTTAGTATGAGCTGGTAACTCTTTTGGCAATAAAACTTTCTCACATTCTTATCTATTTGATACCAAACAGCCTCATGTGCCAATAGCCGCATCCATAATTCTTTTCTAGTTGCAACTTTCCCTCTAGACTTAATTGCAGGTAATTTAAATTGATCTGGCTCCAGCGAAAGAACTATACTTGGAATCTCTTTTCCCTAAGCCATTGTCCAACTGGAAAGATTTAATTGGTGCCACTGTAATCAATTCAAAGGTTTTAATAGAGGAACAATACCTTTGATTGGTCCTCGCCACAAGGCTGAATCTTAGTCAGTCTTTGTCACTGAAAGACCTTTCCGTTTTATCTTTTATTGTTTGGAAATCAAAATCAATTACACACTCTAGTCCTCTGAGTTCTCAAGTTTCTGGACCCTTTCTACTCCCTTTGATCTTCCCGAAAGGGACAATTCCTACCTAACCTCAACTTTCATAGCATTTTACTAAGTGCAGCCCACAGCAATTTAGGCATGAGAGTAACATTCCATTTCACAACTTTGCCTAAAGCCATAAGCTCATTTAGTACATTATCTGTATTCCTAGGGATTAAAGGTGACAGTTTTACCCAATACATTGCCACTAGATAGCATGGGTGGCCATCTTTCCATCCTTCAACAGTGTTATTTTTTGCTTCCTACTCCCAAGCTTCAGAATTGATGCAACATAATTTAGGTTTTCTGCCATGGCAGCAACTCAATAAATCAGTTGCTGTATCAATTAGCTTAGCCTAAGTCATGCTGAAGTAACAACAAACACATCCAAAATCTTTACAAAGAAAGATTTATTCCTTGCATATGCCCATGTCCTTTACAGGTTGGCTGTCATTTTGCAATATGTCATCTAATTCATCTTTTTCTAGGACTTAGATCAAAGAAGCAGACACTATCTGGGACATGTTGGCTTGGGGCAAAGGAAAAAAAAAAAGGTCACATATTCCTCTACTTGGAAATGGCTCATGTACTTCTGGCTACATTCCATTGACCAAAGCAAGTCACACAGTCAGGATGAACTGCTTTTTTTCTTTTTTCCTTCTATACACTTTATTTTTTTTTTAATTTTCCCATAGGTTATTGGGGTACAGGTGGTGTCTGGTTACATGAGTAAGTTCTTTAGTGGTGATTCATGAGATTTTGGTGCGTCCATCATCCAAGCAGTATATACTGCACACTATTTGCAGTCGTTTATCCCTCGAAGATGGACTTCTGATGAGTGAAAAATATACTAGTCTCACAGGGAAGAGTAGTGGGGAGCAGACCCACAGTGAAGGATAGCAGGTACTTTTGAGCAAATAATACAATTGACCCAGTAGTGTGCTGATAAATATTTAACAACTGCATCTCTGGGAAATAGAAGCCTTGATTTGCACATTTGTCAATTTCCATGGTGCAAATCCTCTCGCCGATTTCAAGTCACCAATGTTACGTCACCAAATGCAAAATTCAGAAGAGACATGTACAATTAATTCTTGTGAGCCAGTATGAGCATGCTACAGCACACCACTGAATCAACCTCAGTTTAAATCAATTATTTGCTAAACATAAGTTGGCTTATACCTGTTCCACAAGATGAAGAACGCCTGCAGTCTTGCTGTGGCTTATAATGAGGGAGGAGACTATTATGCGACTCAGCATAAACCTTCCTTAAACCTAAACTGAGGATTTGCAGTAGGGATGAGGAGGAATAACCAACTCAAAATTAAGTCTTCATATTATTTGCTATTTCAGCATTAATTGGAAAATTCAAGTGGAGGGTAAGAATGTGAGATTGAATATTTTGCCTCTATAAATAAGATTCGGCCCCAGGCTGCTCTTTTGCAGAAATTCTTATTAAGGACTTGGCTCTCCTCCAAGAACATTAAGGTAGAAATCATTCAAAACCCTTTACTTCCAAATTATTCCTGATAGAATCTTCTTGATGAGTATAGCTCTCTAGTTTTGTATGTTTACAATTTTCCAATAAAAGCCTTGTTTAAAATATCCCTGAGCTAGGAAGTAGCTCTTACATACTTAAGTCGTAAGCCATTCAAAGACTATTCCTTTTTTTTTTTTTTTTTTTTTTGTGACTGAATCTCTCTGTAGCACAGGCTAGAGGGCAGTGGTGAAACACAGCTCACTGTAGCCTCCACCTCCCAGGCTCAAGGGATCTTCCTGCCTCAGCCTCCCAAGTAGTGGGAACTATAGGCGTCCACACCATGCCCACTAATTTTTGTACTTTTTTGTAGAGGCAGGATTTTGCCATGTGGCCCAGGCTGGTCCCAGACTCCTGGGCTTAAGTAATCCTCCCATCTTGGCCTTCCAAAGTGCTGAGATTACAGCCGTGAGCTACCATGCCCAAACCGTGCATTCTTTAAGTACACTGACATCATCTCTGTGGTAACACTGGGCAAGTTGCTTATGTCTCTGAATTTTTGTTTCTCCAACGATAGGATGGGATAATAACATCTGCCTTACAAAGCTATTATGAAGCTTAAATACCTAGCATACATAAAGTATCTAGCAAAGCACTTGCCCATGGTGGTCACTCAATAAGTAGTTATTAACATTCACTATTGAGGATACTGATTAGAATTATCATAATTATTACTGAGCCATGAAGCTAGAGGTTTTAAGTTACTATTTAAAATACTGCAAGGCTTTATTCAGTAGCCTCAGAGCATTTGGCAGGAGTAAATTGGCTGTTGATTTTGAGTGTATCTGACAGGAGTGACTTCTGCAGCTCCCCTGGAAGCATGGATGTTATTGTAATTTAACAAAACTCACCTTGGTAGTTGCTGGTGCATTTTGTCAATTGGCCTCGAGCTTAGCTCAAATTGTCAGGCCAATGGAAAGTCTGAATGCTTTGCCTCCGGGCAAAATTGTGGCCTGCAGGGGATGGACCCTGCATCCCATCCTCAGCGAGAACGAGAACGGAAAGCTCACTCAGCATGCTGCAGTCTTTCATACTGACTCTGACATAAAACATCAATCGGAAATTCCACTTCTAACTCTGCAGTAATTGTGGGGGAGCCAGAGGGCCATCCAAACACAGATGTCTGGCATGACACTGCACCCCTCATGAGGTCACAGGACAGATATTGCAGAGAGATAGCGATGATCATGCCTAAAGGAGAGCCCACCATCTTCAGGGGCAACTCATTCATTCTTCCTCCTTCATTGTTCCTGAGTCACTGCGAATAGTCAAGGTTACTGTTTCAGACTCTTTCCAATGACTTGACTTATAATGGCGAGAAAGATGTTGATGCTCATAATGATAAGAGTAAAAATGGTGAAACTTTTTCCAGAGTTTCAAATAATGGAACTCCAAATCCTACTGTTCTGTAGTGTGTGTATGTCTGTGTGTATGTGTGATTCTACATATGTATGTGTGTATTGATTCCTCCTGAGTAGCCCGTCTTTTTTTTAAATTAAGTAGATCAGCTTCTGGAACTGCACATAACAGTTTTCCAGCAGTGACACACCTAGGACAGCTATCAAAGACCTGAAGCCATGTAATACAGTGACCTTTGAAATAGGGGAACACCTGCCTGTGCAGTCCAAAATCCAAGCATAGCTTTTGACTCCCCAAAAACAAAACCATTAATAGCCTACTGTTGACTAGGAGACTTACTGATAACATAGTCAATTATCAATTTTTTTTGTTATATGTATTATATACTGTGTTCTTACAATAAAGTAAGCTAGAGAAAATAATGTTATTGAAAAAATTAACGAGAAAGAGAAAATATATTTACTCTTCATTAAGTAGAAGTGGATCATCATAAAGTTCTCCAACCTCACTGTCTTCACGTTGAGTAGGATGAGGAGGAGGAGAAAGAGGAGAGGTTGGTCTTACTGTCTCAGCGTTGGCAGAGGCAGAAGGAAATCCAAGCATAGCAGACCAACGAAGTTCAAACCCCATTGTTCAAGGGTCAACTGTAAAGACTACGAGAGGCAGAGGCTCACTTAATTGCATGTTCAGGAATTAAGAATTTAACATTAGAGTATGCAAATGCATGCAGATTGATATAATGGACTTTATGTCACTCTATATCATTTATATATAACCAATTCAGAAGCAGGAGGATGGGGGGGTCAGGGATAAAAAACAACACATTAGGTACAATGTACATTACTTGGGTGGTAGGTGCCCTAAAATCTCAGAATTCACTGCTATATAATTCATCCATGAAGCCAAAAACCACTTATACCCTAAAAGCTATTGGGAAAAAAAGGATTTAATATTGTTAGTATGAGCAGCTCCACAAATTTGGGGTGCAAATAGGGTCATATCATTTTTCCAATTAATTCACTGAGTAAAGATTGCTGCTATAAGAACAACAACAAATAGACAAATTTTCAGTTATTTCTTGCTCATATAACAATCTAAATCAGTTGTTTCTGATTGGAGGGCAGCTTTCTTCTACAGAATGATCCAGGGCTCAAAGCATAATTATGCTCTCTTTTCTGGCCAATGGAGTGTTGTACCCACTCTATTAAGGGTAGCTTTCCCTAGGGCTCCCAGGAGACTCATAAAGAAGACAACTTAATTTTCTATCACCTCTTCTGATAATGCCAGGAGGTGTTATATGTAGAATCACACACACACACACACACACACACACACACACACACACACAATACAAACTTCATATGCATTAGAGCATTCTACTATATTGAATTGTCTGAAATGAATGAACCAAATGTCATCTCCAAATTTTAGTAGATGAGTGTCTATGAAATAAAGAGGATTTAGGGGCCAGGCACGGTGGGTGATGCCTTTAATACCAGCACTTTGGGAGGCTGAGGCAGGCAGATCACTTGAGGTCAAGAGTTTGAGACCAGCTTGGCCAACATGGTGAAACCCCATCTCTACAAAAAGTACAAAAATCAGCCAGACACAGTGGCAGGTACCTGTAATCTCAGCTACTTGGGAGGTGGAGGCAGGAGAACTTCTTGAACCCAGGAGGTGAAGGTGACAGTCAGCCAAGATAGTGCCACTACACTCCCGCCTGGGTGACAGCCAGATACCATGTCAAAATGTACGAGGGTTTAGAGGATATCTTCATATTATAAAATGGTATAAACAGAGAAAAATATAAACATAAGCTTATATTTTGAAGAAAACAGTTGATGATATTACTAAGATTTGTAGTTGGTGCTCAACACATTTATCAAACCAGACTATTGAATCATGCCCAGAACTTAGCAGCTCAATTGTTATTTTTTAGAATAAATGAAGGGTAGTGATATCAGTCTAATAAGCATTTTAAAACATGCAAAAACCTTTAGATATAAAATTATATATTAAAATTCATTTAAGTTTTTGAGATGGCAATTGGTAGATATTCCACAAATGATTATTTGTTTAGATTGCCAAAGTAGACAGAGATGTGCCTTGTACATGCCACTCAGGACTGCTACATATGTTCATAGAGGGTGGGCACTGTACAGTCCCAGAAGATGCCATTCACACAGACTCCCATGCAAATAGCTTCCCTGGGTTTGTGCAGTGCATACTGTGCACACAGCTGCCTAATTTGAATCCATCAATCCTAACAGGCCGTAAGGGTAGAGCAGCTGATTCACCTTGTTCATCAGCAAGGCTGATTGAGCTGGTCTGGCTGAGTAGTCCGTTCTCACTTCACGTCCCCACTGCTTCCTCATTTACTACCTCCTCCTAGAAGCTTGTGTTCTTGTAAAGACATTGGCCTTCCCTGATAGAAAAGAGTGCCCTCCTGCCAAGGGCATGCTTATCACCTCACCTGAGCCCACGCGGACTCCAGAGGACTCTCAGTAATTCTGGAGCAGGAGAGCCCCTGCAATGGGAACTGAATGTTCTTTCTCTCTTAGTAATGAGGTACTTAAACAAACATACACACACAATGGCTTTTTTTAAAAACTCAACTTTTTGAGGATTGCCTATTAAATACCAAGAGCCATCTTAGCTCTCTGTTAACTAACCATGTCATTAATTCAAAAATGTTCTCATTGATTAGCCTCCAAAAAGGCCTTAGATGGGTCCTTCAGATCCCAAAGGCCAATTTTAAACATCTTATCCTTACGTACTCAATATTCATATTTCAAAACTTAGAATATAAGTTCTAGATCTCTCTAGAGTCTGGGGTTTGTTGGAAGTTGGGATAGATGAGCCTAAGATGAGAAAAAAATACCAGTTAAGACTGGGCATGGTGGCTCATGCCTGTAATCTCAACACTTTGGGAGGCCAAGGCGGGCAGATCACCTGAGGTCAGGAGTTTGAGACCAGCCTGACCAGCATGAAGAAACCCCATCTCTACTAAAAATACAAAATTAGTTGGGATTGGTGGTGTATACCTGTAATTCCAGCTACTCGGGAGGCTGAGGCAGGAGAATCGCTTAAACCCAGGAGGCAGAGGTCGTGGTGAGCTGAGATCATGCCATTGCACTCTAGCTTGGGCAACTCCACCTCAAAAACAAACAAACAAACAAACAACAACAACAACAACAAAAAGACCAGTTAGGAAAGAGGCAGTGACCAAGGGCGTGGAGAACCATAAATGGCTCTCACTACCATTTAAAAGGAAGACTTTATGGGACTTGGAGACTGACAAAGACAAGGATGAACTGCAAATAACTTCAGGATCATGTTGCTGGACATTTGCTGGTGCCATAGCATGACGAGAGATAAAAGGACTGGGTGTGGTGAGGACTTTATGTAGAGAGTTAAACAGCATCTCAAGAGGAGAGCAACACTGGATACAAGAATATCAGCAGGCTTTCAATTTTTGTGCCAAATTAGACAAAGGGACAAATACTACAAGTTCAAAGCAAGCAAATATTGTTTGATTTCAAAATTTCTCTTTGCATATTTTTCCCCTCTCCTGGGAACAACATCACTTATATACCTTGGAGTAATCTCTCATTCTTAACAACATGTGAAAATCTCTCATCCTAGATCCATAGTGGCAGCTGTTAAAAACATTGACTCCTTCCTTACTGCATTTCCTGCTTCTGCTTGGTGTCTTGTGCCACTGCCAAAGCCTTCTTTCATTGCACGAGTGTGACCATGTGATTTCTGATGCATTTTAGAGTAGTCCAAGATTTATTTGAAATTCTTAACTTCCCAGAAAATCCCTCGTTTTGGATATAAATATAGAAAATAAAGTATTCCGCTAATAATTTTATAAGACAGGCAGGCAGCTCACTCAGCCATTCAATAGCTAGTTGCTGAGTACTGTTGTTACCGAGGAAGAGGCTGGAAATTTGATGTGGAACTAGATATGGTTCCTGCCTTTCAAGAGTTTTACAATCTGAGGGGAAAGGAAAAGGAAAATAAATCAAGTCTTAAAGGAATGGGTAATAAGTGACATATTGATCCATACGAACAGCCAACTCACACGTGAACGTTACAGAAACTTTCTGTGGGTGATAATGCGCATAAATAGAACATAAAGTCTACTAGAAACAGTGTCTAAAGTAAGGTAGCTGCTAAATGCTATAGAAAAGATACTAATTTATTCGGACTAAGTAAAGATACTAATTTATTCCAACTAAGTAGACCACCAAGATTTTTTTGTAAGAGATTGCATTGAACTTGGGAGGGTCAAATGAATAATTCCTGGGACATGGGAAACTTCAGGGCTTATTTAAGGTACTAGGTGACATTGTTTACCAAGATCAGGTACAGGTTTGGGGTTACAAGGCAGGGAGACACACACATACTTTAAAAAATAGTTAACAGCGTATCTAAAATTACATAGTACTGCAATATTCAATAAATACTGCCTGGCAGTAAGTGACTAAGAGCTAAATTAAGGGCTGGCTGTGGTGGCTCATGCCTGTAATCCCAGCATTTTGGGAGGCAGAGGTGGGCGATCACTTGAGGTCGGGAGTTCGAGACCAGCTTGACCAACATGGAGAAACCCCGTCTGTATTAAAAATACAAAATTACCCGGGCGCGTCGGTGCTTGCCTGTAGTCCCAGCTACTCGGGAGGCTGAGGCAGGAGAATCGCTTGAACCCTGGGGGCAGAGGGGCGGAGGTTTCAGTG